CCCACACTATTCCCATATCCCCTTATATCTTTAATGTCTAGAATGAATAGCTGAAGTTCAAGACAGACTTCATAACTTGACTATTTAATTTTGGTTTTGCATGGTACTGCTCAAATGCCTGTGAAGAATCAGTCACAACCCATGACTAAAGATAAATGGGGACTGGTTAGATGGATGGTTAATTTGCAATGCAGAACAAAACCAACAGAGTGGGTTCAATTCACTGAGGTTACCATGAAGGACTCTCCTTTCCAACCTCTTCCCCTCGCTCGAGGAGTGCTGATCCTCAGGTCAAAACACCACCAGTCATCTCTCTCTAATGATGCAGCAGCCCCATGGTCCAGTAGGACCCATGACTACCAGCATCATCGCTAACTTCTTTGGCTACTAGAGATTGTGGGTGTCATGGTAATGTCACTCCAAACTTAATTGAATTTTAATTAAAATTCAATGAATAAATCTGCAATAAAAAGCAACTGTCAGTAATGTTTCACTGAAACCAACGTCAAATTGTCACAGGAACACATCTGGATAACTAATACCCATCAGGGAAGAAAATCTGCCATCCTTCCCGAGTCTGAGCTACTTATGGCCGCATCCACAGCAATGATTGTTACCTGTCCTCTTAAACAGCCAAAAAAAGCACTCAGTTCAAGAGCTACAACAGTTGGGCAACAAATACGGACCTTCTTGGTGACACCCACAGCCAATGAAAGGATTTTAAAAGCAACAAAATTTTCATCTCTTTTACAAATTCTTCTGTGACCTTCCTCCAATTTATCTCTGCAATCTCTGCCAGTCTCCTGACCCAGCCCATGGCTTCTCTCTTCTAATTCTGCCTCACCTTACACTTTCATTCCTGCTGTCCATTACCATCTTCTCCATTTCATAACCAGTCTTCACACAATCTGCTCTCGTACTCTTCAGCACTCTCTATATTAACTCTTACATCTTTACTTAAATCCAATATCACCTTTGGTTGTATCACACATTCAACTCCTGTCCTGTCATGGGTCCATCTTGTGATCATAGAGTCATATGGCATAGAAACAGGCCTTTCGGCCCACCAAGTCTACATCAACCAACAAACACCAAACTACACTAATCCCATTTACCTGCAGTTAGCCTACAATGCCTGGGCATTTTAAGTATACATCTAAATACTAAAATGTTGCAAGAGTACCTGCCTTCAGACAGCACATTCCATATACCTACCACCTTCTGGGTGAATAATATTTTTCTCAGATCGCCTTTAAACCACTTGTGCCTCACCTTTAAAGGTTTTCAGGTTACAATTGACAGGTTTTCATTTTACAGAATGCGCTCACTGTAAAAGTTTACAGCTTTGAGTTTAGTTTCATTTTAATGGTGCGAATTTGGTGCATTTCAATGTTAAAACATTGATAGAGTCATACAGCACAGAAACACACCCTTCGATCCAAATTCATCTGTGCCAACCAGACATCCCAATCTGACCTAGTTTCATTTGCAAACATTTGGCCCATATCCCTCTAAACCCTTCCTATTCACATAGGACACTTAAAAGGAATCTGAATGGGTGATTGTACACACCACCACCACTTCCTCTGGCAGCTCATTCTATACATGCACCACTCTCTACGTGAAAAAGTTGCCTCTCTGGTCCTTTTTAAAATCTTTGCCGTCACCTTAAACCTATGCCCTCTAGTTGTGGACTCCCCCACTCTAGGAAAAAGACCTTAGCTATTCATCCTATCTATGCCCCTCATGATTTTATAAACCTCTTTAAGGCTACTCCTGTGCAGTCGCAACATGATATCCCAACTCCTATACTTAAATGTTCTGACCAATGAAGGCAAGCATACCAAACACGTTTGTCACCACCCTATCTACCAGAGACTCCACTTTCAAGGAACTATGCACCTGCACTCCTAGGTCTCTTTGTTTGGCAACACTCCCCAGGGTCCTACCATTAATTAGAACATAGAACATAACAGCGCAGTACAGGCCCTTCGGCCCTCGATGTTGCGCCGACCTGTGAAACCAATCTGAAGCCCATCTAACTATTCCATTATCATCCATATGTTTATCCAATGACCATTTAAATGCCCTTAAAGTTAGCGAGTCTACTACTTTTGCAGGCAGGGCATTCCACGCCCTTACTACTCTCTGTGTAAAGAACCTACCTCTGACATCTGTCCTATATCTATCACCCCTCAATTTAAAGCCATGTCCCCTCGTGCTAGCCATCATCATCTGAGGAAAAAGGCTCCCACTGTCCACGCTATCTAATCCTCTGATCATCTTGTATGTCTCTATTAAGTCACCTCTTAACCTTCTTCTCTCTAACGAAAACAGCCTCAAGACCCTCAGCCTTTCCTCATAAGACCTTCCCTCCATACCAGGTAACATCCTGGTAAATCTCCTCTGCACCCTTTCCAATGCTTCCACATCCTTCCTATAATGCAGTGACCAGAACTGTATGCAATACTCCAAGTGCGGCCGCACCAGAGTTTTGTACAGCTGCAACATGTATAATTGTATAAATCCTGCTCTAGTTTGCCTTACCAAAATGCACCACCTCACAGGTATCTAAATAATTTTAACTTGTTCATCCACAGCAATGACTTTGATTTTTTTCTTGAATGCTGTAACACTACTTTATTACATTGTAGGATAATTCTGCTAATACTTGGCATTTTTCTACAGTTAAAAATTCTTGGAAAATTCAGCCTGCTGCACAGCAGCAATTTTCAATTCTACAGCACCTCAAAAACCACTTTGCAGTAGCATTATTGAACAAAATCTGACACTATGCCAAATATTAGTCATTTGTTCTAAAAGCTAGTTAACAGAAGAGAGAGAAGTGGAGATGGAGAGAAATTTAGGGAGGGAATTCCAGATCATAGGGCCCAGGCAGCTGAAGGCACAGCAGCAGGTACCTTAATGAGGATCATTTCCGAAACGGGGATATTTGAGACCCGGGGTGAGTTAGAAAAATAGGATGCGAATTTGATTTGGCACCATGATGTTATTCCACTCTCTCTCAGTTTTTGAAGCTGGAGTTAAATGCTGCTCACACAAGATCCTGATAAGCAGTAAGTGTAAGGACTACATGAAGTAAGTTTCCACTCAGCTTGAAATACATGTACTTAATTTGACAAATTTACTCAACAGGCAGAAGTAGTGTTGGAAAAATTCACAACTTTGCAATGGTTTCTTCTTAAAATGGAGTAGGGTATATTGTGGGGGGCAGACAAGCAAAGAGTTTAAACACGCAAGCCCTCACAGTATTCGTAACCCAGCAACACACTATTTTGAAATGAGGGGCAAGACATGGATACATCCCATATATTCTTGTACTGACAATTTACACATTGTTCAACATACAAATTCATCAATAAGTAAACTGCCCACATTCTAACCTCATCAATGATTTTCCTCTGTTGAATAGAATGCCGGTACAGTCTGTTCTGTTTGTATAGATTACAATTAGTATACTTCCCTAATTAATACAACTAACAATTTTGCAAATAAAGAAAATAACTTGGATCCGTTTGATTGCCATTCTGAAATTAAACTCTACCAGTAAGACTATATCCCTTATCCAAAATATTCTAGAGCTAGGAAACAAGAAAAACTCAATATAATGGCTTACTGTTTAGCTTTTGTCCAATATAGTCCAAATGCAATAAATTACATTTCTAATCTTTGAAGTTAAACTTCAATACACTATCAAAAATAACAATACCAAAAAGACATAATTCAATTGGTAAGAGAATGAACACTATTGGTGATACCAGAGATCTGAGTATCTATTACAGTTCATTAAATTTAGATCTTCCGATCAAATTCAGTTTTACAAATGCGCCACAAGGCAAAAACAAAAAATTCATTTCTACTTTTTTAGTCCATTACATTTAAACACCTCTTTCTTTGCAGTTTGGTCAAAACATGACACAAAGTGTTTGCAACTCAACTTGCCTATTTGGGCCATATGTCAAACACTCATTTATAAAATAAGTTAGTTTCAGTGATTCTAAAGATGTAGGATAAAGTTAAATACATAGTCATACAGCCAGAAACAGACCCTTGGCTCCAACTCGTCCATGCCAACATCAAGTTTCCCCACACTAAACTAGTTCTATTTGCCTGCGTTTGGCCCATATCCCTCTAATCCTTTCATATTCATGTACCTATCCTAAAAGTCTTTTAAATGCTGTAACTATACCTGTGTCCACCACATCTTCTGGCAGGTCCCTTTTAAATCTTTTTCCTCTCACTTTAAAATTATGACGTCTAATTTTGAACTCTCCCACCCTAGGGAAAAGACATTGGCCATTCACCTTACCTAATCCCCTCATGATTTTATACACCTCTGTAAACTTCAGCCTCCAATGCTCTAGTGAAAAACGTCCCAGCCTACCATTACTCAAACCCTCCAGTCCCAGCAACAAACTTGTAAATCTTTTCTGAATCCCCTCTAATTTAATAATATCCTTCTGATAGCAGAGGAACCAGAGCTGTTCACAGAACTCCAAAAGCGACCTTACCAAAGTCCTGTATAACCTCAACAAGCCAAAATAAAGATTATTTTAGCTCTGTATAAATGCCGTTGAACTGGTATAATACAGCTTACCACCACCTTTTCAAGGGCAATCAGAGACAGGAATAAATGCTGTTATAGCCAGCAATACTGACAATATTAAAAATGTAATGATACTTGATAACAAACATTTCACAAGTTTAATCGAAATCCAGATATGCAATTTTTTTTTGACAGTCCTTTTTCAGAAAGCACTTTCTTAATATTTACAATACATGTTTATCATGTTCTATAAATGTTTTGGCAAGTGCTTAATCATCTGTAACCACCCACAAATCAGAAAATAAAGTCCAGTTTTGTCAACACCTTTATTCAACTACTCTGTACCAAGTCGTGAATGGTTTGGCTGGGAGCTCTGGGTACAATTATAAGTTATATTTGATGAACAACATTCGTGTCTGGTTTATTGGCTCACCTGTACTTTGCGATGCCATTGGCTTGTGGCAGATTACTGCCATGCTTTTCCTGCTCAGACATACTTGACCTCTTGCAATTGCTACAGCTCAAAGGCTCGTCCTCTGCTGACTGGCTCGTTACAGTTTCAAATCCACTCAGAGAGTCCACAGAGTCAGAATCTGCATTCAGAAACAAGCCATGTTAATGCAGCTGTATGGTCTTGCTTTGAAATATAGTTTAACAACTGATACCATTCACTCTGCACCAAGCTCTGAAACCTGACTCTGTACGGTATTGTTTACAGAATCCTTCTGGTAACAGTCTAAATATACAATGAACCTGACTTGCACATGGCCATTCTCAAAACAGTGCTAAAGATTCAAACTTAACCAGACCACAGTGAGCAAATTATTTCATCGCGCCACCCCTTCTTTTGACATTACATGTAACACAAATGCACAGACTAGTTTTAAATCTTTGATATTGTACTCTGTGGAACTGAAAATCTGTGCGACAAGCATAAATACAGCCTAAATATTTGTTGTACATGTTTTAAGTTTAGAAACATCACAAGAACAGTAAATGTCAGCATTGTCACTTTACAATAATGATTTTCACTAACAATACCAGATCATTAAAGTCACGCATTTGCTGCAGCATACAAAATGCCTTCTTGCTCATGAATTTTAAGTGAGAATGGTTGACGTCAATGGAATCCAATGCCAACTGCTTCAGCTGAGCTAGCTTTGTAACGAGCTTCCACTGATTTTATTTGCAGGTAGGTCAAGCCTACAATATTGAGACAATAAGGAAGGTACTTAAAAAAGCAATTTACTGAAAACAAAAATTCAATGTGCTTGCTTTGAAACGCTCCCCTGAAAATGGTGAGGAATAAAAAGGCAAAATTAGGAAACAAAAAACTTTTCTTCCTGTTGCTGTTAATGAGTAAATAAGTCAAGGAACATAAATTGACTTTAATCTTGTCATTGCAAATTAGTCGAGGAAGAACCAATTTGTGTTGATCTGTTTGAATGTTAGTAAGCAATAGATCATGAACAGCCATGTTATTGACATAGTCTGAGCCAACTGGCGCGATAACTCTGACCACAAACTCAATGTCCAACCTCCCTTTTCTGCAAAATGGCCTCTATAGCATTAAAAATACCAGTCCTGATAATCTACATAAAACACTCAAAATTGAAATATTATTTTTCTCTCCACTAGGTTTAGATTAGTTGGAGAAACAGGACCTTATTTTCCACTTAGGCACTTTACAGCCTTCAAGATTCAACACTCAGTTCAACAACTTTGGACCATAAACTCTGGCCTGCATTTTGATGAACTCTTCTTCCATGTCCAACTGTCTTGTTTGCTTGGATTCAACTTTCAGCAGAGGTTTCTGCTATTAGCACCTACCATTAACACCTATTTTTCATCTATGTTTCTCCTCTACTACTTTGCCTTTTGCTCTGGGCACCTTACTATCTAATCCAGCTCCTTCCCTCTCCTCACACCATGAAAACTCTCTTTTTCAGCCCTCTTCAGTTCCAAAGAAGAGTCATATTAGACTGGAAATATTAATTCTGTTCCTCTCGCCACAGATGCAGCCCGACCAGCTGAGTGTCTCCAGCATTTTCTGTTTTTATTTCTGATCCCCAACTTCCACACTCTTTTGCTTTTACTTATTTCAGTGTGTGCACCATTGCTACCTTGCAAATGTCTTACCAGGTTGGCTTATAACACGGGTTGCCAAAGTGATTCTAAGTATCAGACTGCCCCTCGAACGTAATGAAAACTATAAATGCAAATTGCTTAACAGAGGACATGAATAAGAGCTTGAAATTCAGCCAAGATGAAGTCATCAGTGTTTGCTTCAGGAATTGCAGTTTACAAGGAGCAGTATGGAAACTACTTCCACAATACATTTATCTCCTAAAAATACACAGAACACATCTACAGAAGCCGAAAAACGAATCATCATGAAACGCTCCAGTGAAGTGAGATACAGGAGCGAAACAACAAGAAAGAGAAAGCTACAATGAGGAGTACGAAAGCAAGAAAAGTGAAAGCAAGATCTGCAGTGAAAGCTATTTGCACTGATCTCCAATGTTAAATGAATAAAGATGCTTCTGAAAATTACTTCTTTTTTCCATGTTTGTTACATGAGGATTTAGCACTCTCACCTCAGGTTAGTAACAAGTTGGCAGCTAAAAGCATATTTTTATAAACTATTTAATCCAATTTGCCAGCTCCCCATTTCTGTTCAAATTCTCTTTGGATTTTTTCCTCTTTTAGTACCTATTCTTCCTTTTTTTCTACCTTTTGGAATTCCACCTCCAATTTTCTCATTTCTAAATACCTGAACAGCAACTCAAAGTTCACTGATTTATCTATTGTCCCACTTGGACTACTTGCCTCTTGGGTATTTCCATTGAATTCAACTGCTTCAATATTAAATCTGTAATGACTGCCTTCCTAGATCACTCTGCAAGTTCAGCCTGCTGGCTAACTCTGCTGGTGTAGCTTTAATCACAGTATCAGGGAAACCACTGACACTTGCAAAAAGTCTGTAATAATTTCTAATGTTATCTTAATTCTATATACAAACTTGGTATCAGATTACCTTAAGACACACCAAATTCCAATTCCAGACCTACACTGTCTGTGTTTCAAGATCCCAGATGAGCCCCCAATTATGTTGCAAGACAGCAATAGTAAGCCAAATCGAAACAGCCTCACTATCATTGGATTCATAAAACATTCAAATTAAAACCATTAAATTTGCACAATTGTTCCTAACCAGACGTTATGACGAACAGATCTTAGATACCAAGTTTACAACTTAAACAAAAATTAACAATTTATTATTAATTACCTAACTTTAGCAGAAGACAAATAAACAACAAGGCAATCTAAGTAATATCTATGATCTAAACCCAATCTTCTTTGATCCCATTTGCACACTGACAGATAGACACAATTAAGGGATTTTTTTTTGAAAAGTGAAAGAGTTGCAATTTGACAGTTCGATAACTGTTTCAATGACAAATGACAAATGAAATCCTTGGTTAGCATTAGAGGAACACAAAACTGAATATCTTGCTTGAATTTTTAAGTCATCAGTAATGTAAACAAGTACAGCAGTCCTCTGAAGACTTTTACTTATTTCTGGAAAACAGTTCGTTTTCTCAGAACATTCAACAAGTTGAGAAATGAGGAAGTACAAAACCAAAAAAAAAAAGAGAAAGAAAGCAGCCCAGAAACTTCCTTGAGAAAACCTCCACCTGCCCAAAACCCAGTCAGCCACAATTGAGAGATGGCAAGAACTGCCGATGCTGGAGTCAGAGATAACACAGTGTGAAGTTGGAGGAACACAGCAGGCCAGGCAGCAGAGGAGCAGGAAAGCTGATGTTTCAGTCAGGATCCTTCTTCAGATACACAACTGAGTCTGTTTTCTTTTGTATTTTCAAGATTCTCTGTGGTTGGCTGGCCAGTAACAGCCTTTCCTTGATTGACCAATTCAACATCCAATCAGTCTTCAGCACAGCAACATCTCTGTGCAGAACTGTCTCCAGTATCTTGAGAGCCATAATTAACCTTCATTATCTTTTCAGGACAGTTTTCAACAGCAAATCTGTCTTTTGTTCTCTCCTCTTTATATATATAAAAAATCTCAAGCTGCTGTTCAAAGTTCAATTCTCAGTTCCAAACCAAAAATGAGAAAAGTGAAACAAAATAGTGGTAGTCTCAGCACTGAGTGAGTATAGGGGAAATGGTGAACAGGCTTATTGCACATTAGAATACAGACAGCAGAGTTTTGTGTGAGCTTAAGTTGATGTAGAGTGGAAGATGGAAGGTTGACCAGCAAGAGCATTGTTGGGTTTTTTCCAGCAGCAGACCACAACAAGCACATATATGGTTTAAGAGTAACAAATGTAACAGTTTTGTGTGACGCAGTTGAGATAAGAGTATTGCCCATTAGTGGGATAGGTTGATATTCCCTGGAGTTTAAAAGGAAGAGGAATGATCTTATTTAAATACATGAAATTGTTTCAACTTACTCTGTCAAATGGTAGAGTAAATGAAGTAAGGTGTAAGAAATTGAGCCCTTATTAAATGATCTTTTCTCGCCCCCCCCCCCCCCACCCGTCCAAGTACATGGAAATGCTTAGAAGAGATGAAATGCATAACATAAGACTACCTCAGCAGAGAAGTAGCTTTCTCTCTCCATCTCTTTGGAAATATATAGACCAGGGACATATCAAAGCTTCCTGGTTCAGGCTTCTATGTTGAAATTCCTAAGATGGTAGGATGACACCTTGTGTAGCTCCTTATCTGTGCAAGTGTTTAGAAAGGACCGGGAATGGCCCTCAGCATGAGGTAAAACTAAAACTCAGAAAAGCTGGAGAGAGAAAAGTAACCATACCAACATCTTATATATGCCCTGGATTCATTGCCTAGAAAGAGTGATTGACAGTGTAAATCATCAGTCCCCAGAAATAGAGTACATTAACATGCCCTTGGGAAGGGGCCAGGAACTTTCTAGTAGTCATCTTCTTCAGATGGAAGACAACATGGGGTAGAGTTTCTTCACTATAGATTGCAGGATGCTGCCACCACAGTTCTAAAGAAGTCATACCAGACTTCATGATGTTAATGCTGTATCTCTCTCCACAGATGCTGTCAGACCTACCTAGTTTCTACAGCATGCTCGGTGTTTGTTGCCGTCACAAGCTATTGAAATCAATGCACTCTATGTCAACCCCTGCAATCACTGAAACACTCTCAACTGCCATGGATTGTATACATTTCCTGTCTCATATCTAAACTACTGCTTCTTAATAAACAATCTTAAAATTACTTATGAACAGTCAACTGATTGTTTTCATTAACTGTGGCCCTAAATCCTTAATTCTTAAGGGAGGTTGTTACCTCTGGCTGTACAGCATGGTCATATTCTAAGGCAAAGGAATCAACTATTAGGACTAAGAGGAACAGAAAATTCTTCACTCAGGGTTATAAATCATTGGAATTCTCTGCTCCAAATACTCAATAGATACTCAGATCTTTCAAGCAACTTTGTTAATCACAACAGTTCTAAATGATGTTGAGTGGGTAACTTCAGGTCTTAATAAAAATTTGCTGACAATTTGACAACATTACATGTGAAACATCTGAA